GAAAAGGATGATTCAGTGGATATACCATCCACACATCGTGTGGGCACCAAACGCTACATGGCGCCCGAGGTGCTCGACGAGAGCATGAATGCCCAGCATTTCGATTCGTATAAGCGCGCGGATGTCTATGCCTTTGGCCTGATACTGTGGGAGATAGCGCGTCGCTGCAACATGGGCATGATCTTTGAGGAATATCAATTGCCGTACTGGGATGTTGTGCAGCCCGATCCCAGCATTGAGGAGATGAAAAAGGTGTGCTAAAATCATATATCAATTGTTATATTCTCTATATTGCCGTTGTGTTGTGCCCCGTTGCAGGTCGTTTGCATTGAGAAGAGTCGACCGAACATACCCAATCGCTGGCATGCCTCCGATGTGCTCCACAACATGGCCAAGGTCATGAAGGAGTGCTGGTATCCCAATCCAGTGGCGCGTCTCACAGCGCTGCGCATCAAAAAGACTCTGGCAGCCATACGTGTCGAGGACAAGGTCAAGAACTGATTGTGGCTCTAATGCGCCTGTGTAGTAGCCCTCACCTGTTCCACAAGATTTGGAGTGCGTCTAATCTGAATGGAGTTGCGTATGCAATGGCATCGCAACCGTGCAACCTGTAACCTGGCCCCGTGTTACCTTCAAGCAGCAAACAAAAGAAACAAAAAACAAAATGAAAGTGAAAATTAAGAGAAAACTAAGCTAAACTATAACTAAACTAACAAATACGCTGTAAATAGTTAGATCTTATATGCCCTATTCCCCACACACACATGCTATGAACTGTGCTCGTTTTATATTATATTATCTTTTGCATTTTGCATCTACTTTTACTTTTGTACATATATATATACCTATATATATACACCTATATAAATATTTCGTTGACATTTTCCGCTGAGATTCGCTTAGTTTTTCATATGAAGTCATAAAGGCAGCGGCGCGCCACAAGAAAAAGAAAACAAAAACAAAAACAATATAAACAAAGAACCGCCGCACTGCCAATTTGTGCTAACAAAAAGAAAAAAGAGATAAACAATTAGGGCCTAAATATGTATACCTAACATATATTTTTTATAGCCACTGTTCACAAACAAACAAACAAGAAATATATATATAGATGAGAAACAAAACAAAAAATACATACAGTTAAAAGACTTTGCCAAGACTGAGCAGCAGTGAGAACAGCAGAAAAACAGAAAATACAAAAATGCCCCAAAAAAGTGAAAGCAAAAACCCCAAGTTACAAATTACGAATTCCAGTTATATATCAATATAATAATCGTATATAGGAAACCGTAGCAATATCTAGTAATTAAACACTTTTTAGGCGTTTATCGTTGACAAAAAATAAATAAATAAATAAAGAGAATAAAAAAATGTATAAAAACTCAGGAATTCACGAATTACAAAAGAAAACAAACAATTTTGAAAAGCAAACAAAAGTAAAATATCAAATTTATATGGCGCGCCGACTGCTGCATGCCACGCCCCACAATCATGCCCGCCCCCTGCACCTGCCCCATTTAAGCTGTTGCTGCTGTGTGTGCGTGTCCTAAGCTAATGATACAATCACACACACATATATACGTATACATCTATATTCATAAATCGCTTTTAAGTTTTTTTCTATATATATATATATAAATATGTAGAATCTTCAATTTAAAAACTTCATTTTATTTGTTTTTCATCAACATCATTTTTGTTTTTGTTTTTAATATTTTTATTTTTATTTAGTTCTGTTATAACCAAAGCTTGTTCTTCCTATTTTTACTGTAGTCATAGAAACAAATGCTAAACAAGTTGAGATAAAGAACGAAATATGTATATGTGAAATAAATATATATATATATATTTATTTAAATGTATATGTGCTTGATGTTTCATGAACAAAACATATTGAAGGAGTTTAGATTAAAAACAATTGTAATTTTTAAGTCATTTTGTCAAACTGTAAAACCTATATTAGCTGTGTTGTCATTTAATAATTTCACTTGTATGTTGAATGTTTTCAATATCTGCAACACACACACACACTCACACTCACCTACACACTCACACAACAAACCAGCCATAGCCAAGCAAACTAAAGATTCCCAAATAAATCAAAGCTGCAATAGTAGTTTCTATACAAACATCAAATGTTTCCCCACACAGCCAAGAGATTAAAGAAATGGAAATATTATCAAAATAAAAACGAAAACACATTAATTTTACATTTCATCAAGCTACGACTAAGCAACATATTATAATTATTATGTATAACAGTTCTATTTGATATGCGTATAACGAGAAATGATAAGAGATAAAAGTAAAACTATATACATATATATAAATCTAAACTAGTTTGTTAAAACTTTCGGCCTGCGAAATTTAATTTCCTATTAATTTAGGCAACTGAAGAAACACAAAACAAAATCAAGAATTATTAAATACGTTTACACCTAAGTTTAAAACTAATTTCCTGTAATTTTTAATTTTGCTGAATGCCCAAAAAAAGAAACCCAAAATTCAGTAAAGAAAAAACGAAATAAATGTAACCTAAGTTTTTACAACAAGAATATTCCTGTAATTGTAAAATGTGTAAATATTAAAAAAAAAAAAATCAACAAACAAAAACAATCTGTAACATTGTTAAAAATGTTAAATGTTTAATCCGCCAGTTTCCCAGAAGAGTAAGCGAAAATTGTTTCGTTTTCGAATGCTTAAAAAAAAATTAATATTAACAGTAATCAAAGATTCTATTTAAACACTATATCGCTCTATAGAGGCATCTTAAACCGTACTGAGTTAAAAACAAAAAACCAACCGAAGAAATGAAAAAAAAGAAGAAATATAAAAGACTTGAACAACTAATGCGCAAAAGAAAACTTTTTAGAGAAAATCATCCTATTTTCCAGCTAACAAAATTATTTAAAAAAACAAAAAAGGAAGAAAACGAAAAAAAAAACTTGTTAGGCTCAAGTTTATCGAAAACATATATTTTTTGGCAGCATCTGTGTTTTGTAATGTGTATTGGAAGAGAGAGAAAGAGATAGCGAGAGTTCGTATGGAAATCAGGATGTGAATTGGAATTTTGGATATGTATGTAGTGTGTGAAGCATTTACGGTGTACTGTTAAAAACAAAACCAAAAAAAAAAAAAAAAAAAAAAAATGGAAAAAAGCGTTGAAAGTGTAAACAGAGTCTAATTTTTAGCTTTAAGCTGCGTTTTTACTGGCACTTTAAATAAAAACAAAACCCAAAAAAATATTTGTAAAAACAAAACAAACCAAATTTTAATTTCTACAAAGCGAACAGCTGCACAACTGTTGCGCAGCAGTTGGCACGCCTTTGCGGCTTCTTTACATTTACTTAGGCATAGCCGTTGAAAGGTTAAGAGTTCAAAAATATGGCCCTAGGACTTTTGAGTTTACGTATTCATTTGGCCTTAGGTGTATTTTAATTAAAATCGTTTGCCGCCAAGTACAGGGGATGTGGTTGTTGTCCCTGATTTATGGGTTTACTTTTGGAATTTTAACATGTTTTTTTTTCAACATTTTCCATTTTGTTATTGTCGATTTTCTAAGCTAATTTGAAGGCCTAGCTTATATGAATGTCATTCAATTTATATATATTATATACATAGGTATGCAATGTGGGAAAGACTAACAAATATCGTCAGTTCCTCAAGGATATAAGTTGAATCTATAAATACTCGTATATTCAGCCATGAAATCTACAAGCTTGACGGTCGAGCCACTAGAGCTAGATTAGTTCAGCTCTTCATCGTTATCAGGAATGTATATAGTCTTTATTAGTATATTTATTATTTTACACTTTCTGATACTTTCCATATATTTTCACCACAAAATTATACCTTGAGCTTCCACGCGTAAAGGATAAGATAATTTTACTTGTTTTATTTAAATCAACAGCAAACTGAAGAGAATATGGGAATTCCTTTTAACATAATTAAAAAAAAAAAAATTAAAAATTTTTGAAAACTTAAATTACTATTTTTACGTTTCGAATTTGTTTAAAAATAAATAATTAATACATAAATTGTTTTCTGAATTTTTTGTAACACAGCCTCTCAACCTTTTCACTTACCTAAACGATTCAGGCACCTTCTTTACAGCTCCTAAATTATTAGTAACAACCTTTTCACTCATCCAAATTCAATTCAGGCAGCAGTAAAATTCTGTCAAACTTCCAGCTCAAATATAGCTAAAATTTGCTATTAACAAACGCTCCCAAAATATCCCCCGACTATATTTAAATATAAATAATTAAAATTAATTTTCCACATTTTCTTTTTTTTTTTTTTTGGTTTTGTGGGCTTCGCGCCCTTTGCACTTTTTTTGCGTGCCTTAAATTTGGTTGCTGTTTATTTAATTTGTTGATTTTGTTGTGTTTCCTCATTAACATTTTGCATTTGGTTGCTTGTTATGTGAAATACATTTACATAGGTTTAATTTTAAATACAGATATATATATATTTATGGGCTTACATATGTATGTATATCTCGTTAGACTTGACTTGATGCGAATAAAAATAACGCAAAGTGCGAGCAAAAATAAAACACACACAAGGTACAGTTCCCATTGCGGTCATGGCTACGTATTTGTTGTTATTATTATTAAAATTAGTATATTTATTATTTTAATAATCGATTTCATTTATTTAAATTTCTTTCGATATGCACACTAAGAGTTTGGAATAAACTTTTATTGGTTGATTTAATACTTGCTGTAATAACATTGAATGCCTCAGTCAGTATTATATTAATATGTTGTATATTATATATATTATGATTCAAAATTTTGTTGTTGGGAATAAATATTAAATTTCTACGTAAAACACATTCAAAATATTAATTGATTATTATAAGTGTGTTAATTATTTTCAGATATTTGTTTTAAACAACGAGAGTGATATGCATTTGTTAAACATTTGATATGTATTTTTCATAATTTTTTTTTTCTTTTTTTTTTTATTATTATAGAATTTGTTTTTGTTTAATATATATTCTTTAAACGTTGCCTTTATGTTGTCTTCAGTTAAATATATATATTTGTTAGATAATTTTGAATGTCTGTCTGCTGCTCAAGTGCGACGTTGGTGAAAAACGCTAGCCATGTGCTGTTGGGTATAAGGTATATGTAATTACAGGGTATTCTGGGGTCCTGATTGACCGCTTACCTCTTGGCCCACATCGACGCAGTCGAAGGCATCGCGAAAGTAGCCGCAGCTCAGCTTAGTGGCTCCACGATGATGCAAGCGCTGATGCTGGCAACACATGCCGCTAAACGAAAGAGGGAATGCAACAGCCATAAATTATTTACTAGCAAATACCCTGTATACATGCTTAATATTTAATGATTTTTGGGCTAGTGTGTTCAATTGAGGAATCTTTGTTGATTAAGCAGGTAAATTTAGAACAGACAAGATGGATATTCTGAAAATATGTTTGATGAACATAATTGACAGCAAATTGACAATCAGCTAACAGCTTTATAGACAAATGTATTCACAGAGGCAGAACGAGGGAGAGAGGGAGAGAGAGAGAGAGAGAGAGAGAGAGAGAGGGAGAGATTGGGTGAGAGATATATTGAGAATAGGGATGAGGGCTCTCAGGAACGTGAGACATTGACAATGAAGAAGATCGTCGGACAAAGGGGGCCAAGAGAGAAGGAAAAAGAAATTTGAGTAGGACCAAGGAGACTGGGAAATTCTGAGGGGCTTTGAGTTGATACACGCAAGGCAGAAAGTTGGATAAGATAAGAGAGGAGAACTAAATGGCTATATTAGTTAAAGCAATGCCTACATTAGTAATGAATTTAATGCTCTCAATCCATCTGTCTAATAATTTGATATGTATATTAACAAGTCCCTAATTAGACTTCTGATAGATTAACATGAGGATGGCTTATATAAGCTGTGCAATTTTAGTGCGGCTTCGTGTAAAGCTAAAATATTATAGATTAAGATTGAAGAGCACAATGTATACGTTTTTTTATGAGCCCAGACAGTTAAGCTGAAACACAAATTTGAAGATTAATAAAGGGTTTGAGCTAACTAGATGTGGTAGCTGTAGAAAACTACCTAGACTAATTGAAGGACTTCAGAGGAGATTTCAGGCGAAGAAAAAGATTGAAGAACAAATTGTGGGTAAATTTGAAAAAAAAAATAAGGCTAATGGAAAAGCTCAAAGACCAACTGGCAAACAGATTGACAAGCAGTTCGTCAAACCGAGAAATTATTTGAAATCAGAAAGAAATGAGAGATGAAAGAGATATTATACTAGGTCTGTCTTCTTGATTTTATGATTTCATTTAATATTTCAACATATTTCCACATATTTGCTCTTCAAGCTGAGGCACTTTGATTACAGGGTATAGAGAGCTGTCAACACTTACTTGACCACTTGACAATCGCTGGTGCTGGTGCAGTCGCTGCCCAGCGGCTGTTTGGGTCGCACATGGAACACATCCGTGAGGAGTGGCGCCTCCGTTTCGCAGCGCCAGATGCCCTCCTGGGGTGCCAGCATGCAGGCACTGCCTGGCTGACAGTCGGCGTGCCGCTGGCAGAGATCACGCTGTCGTCCAAACACATAAACGCATTTGCCCTCTGCCACAACAGATTTGCAATTATTGTAGATGGGTTGGAAATGGCTGGAAATGCGTAGGCTCAACTTACCGCCGTATGTGTGAACGCAGACCCCGGTGGGGCAGCAATCGTCGTTTATCAGGCAGGCGCGATTGGCGCAGGGCGTGTCCTCAATCAGTGGCTCCACAATGCCATAGACCTCCGTTTGCGGCTGACGCAGTGCGGCTGACAGTGGCTTCAATTATAGGAAATATTTTCGCCCCGCACAATGGGGCGTATGCGTGTTTTATTAGATTATTAACTGCGCTCGTGCCACATTTCTATACATATTTTATGGCTCGCTGCAGATTACTGATTAACTGTATTCTATAAGCACAATTTGATTATAGTTCTGCATTGCATTTGAACTTTGCACTTTCAAATGCAGCCACAAAGCCAAACAACAACTACCAAATGCCACATGCCACATGCCACATGCCAGCATACCACGTGCCTCACAGCTGTAGGCAGCTTTAATTAATTAACAACCACTGCAAGTCGTTTCAATTTATGTGCTATCCATGCTGTTGCTGCCTGCTTCAATTTTTATTGTGTGGGCGCGCACACGCTGCGTATGAGTGATGCAGCTGGTTTTTGCGGTTTTGCTCGTGTCTGGCTTATGAGCTCAGTTTTTCAATTTATATAATAATTTCATAAAGCAATTTCCATGCCTTACATTGCATATTGAATATTAGAGGAGCGTATGGAGCGAGCTTAGACTTTCAATTATAATTGGATTTTGTGCAGTCGCTCGATTGAGTTTTTCGAAATAATTGGATTGACATAAAATTTGCAAATCAAGTGAAATTTATATGTGAGGGGAGAGAGTTGAACTTTGCATGTATATAGAAAATATTTGCAATAATAAACTAACTTTAATTGAGATCAATTATACAAGAATTATGCAGCCTAGATTTTTTTCTAAACAAATTTTCTCCTTTCTAGTTTAACTTATCTTCTTTTTTCAATTCTTTTCTTTTTCTTTTCAGTGTACTTTTCAGTGTAAATTATCTATGCAAATTCATTCACAAATTCCCTATTTCTCACTAAGCGCTGCTCATTAAGCAAAAATATTACCTTTTCAAATGTATTCAATTAAATTTTAGATCTCCTCAATGTCGTAAACAAATTCCCTGTTCATCCTCTCTTAAATTTTGCAACTCACTAAAATGCAAAAACTAGTTAAGTTTCCGTTATAGTTTAGCTGCACTGTGCGTGAGCGTCAACTTCACTCATTTTAATTAGCCAGTCGCCGTTGGGACTACCGTCTGTATATTGCCTATAAAACTTTGCGCTCACCTGTTGTTCCGCTTGCTTTTGCTCCTGCTGCTGCTGCTGCTGCTCCTGTTCTTGCTGCTGTTGTTGTTGCTGCCGCTGCTGTTGTTGTTGTTCCATGGCAATTAGCTGAGCATATTCGTTATTGTAGCCCGCATTGTTGGCAAACATATCCAGGTTGCCGCCCACATCGACTGGCGGCGGTGCTGCATGGCGATGCAGCAAATTGCGTGAGTTTCGTTCAAACGGCGACGCACGCAGCCAGGCGTTGCTCGGCATTGAGGTTGCATGGGCGCCCAGCTGCATGGCCAGCAGGCCGAGCAGCAACAGCTGCATCGGTATGCGTCTCATGTCGCTCTCTCGCTCTCTCACACTGTGTCTGCTCTTCACTCTAGTACCACATTGCCAGAGGCTGGAAAATGCTGTCTGAAAATTGTGCAAATGTTGAAAGCCCAAGCCAAATTGTGGCCTTAATTAAAATAGAACTAAACAAGATTTGGCTAACAGGCACTTGCCAACGCTTTTAGCCGGAATTTAAGCGTTTGGGCCCGGGGCAAGAGCAAAAAAGTCAGCAGCAGGCTGTTTGCCGGCCCAGCTCATTAAAATGTGTTATGCGTGTGTGTAAAGCGGCGTGTGTGTGTGTGTGTGTGTGTGAGTGTATGTGTGTATTCGTGTGTGCATGAATGAGGTTTGCTTTTAGTGTTATTACCGGCACTGACTTAATTTATGCATCTCATACTCACTTAGCGCTCTTTATTGCGCCGGATGGCAGTTAGACATATACATATACATATATATACGTATATTCACATTTAGCCTGGCTCATATGAAGATGTATGTGCTGTGTAAATGTTTGCCCACTATTCATTGGCGTTGAGCCTTTTAGCTTGAGTTGTATTTTATTTATAGAAAATATAATAATAAATCAGGTAATTGGATAGAAAGGCCTGGATAAATATATGATTACACGTTATACGTCTCACGTTTATTGGCCAAGGGTTAATTAGTCATTGTTGTTAGCTGTGCTATTAATAAGGTTAACTCGAATATGAAGCTGTATACCCTGTTATATTATATTTAGTTTGGCAGGCGAGTGTTTGCAGCTGTTCTTCAACTGACCTTCAAAGTGATGTTTTTTATTGGCCAACGATAAGGGCAATTTGCTTGACATCTTATGATTCATAAAATGATTCATAAAAAACTTTCAATGAGCTTGCACAGCTAGAGGGCATAGAAAGAGAGGAGTATATAAGAGACATTATCAGTGAGCATATTTTTCTGTCGCAACAAGTAAAGCTGCTGTTAATTGGCAATTCAGAACTAGCAGATGCCCTTGGGTCTATGTAAGCATAAATTTAGAAGATATATTTTAAATTTCTGAATATTTTGTAGTACAGAATTTGTTTGTACTGAAGGCGCGCCCAATTGGGCAGAATAAGTAGACAGTAAGCCCACAAAGGGGTTACTGAAGTACCTCGTATGGCTTCAATAAACGTTATTATATATACAAAGTATATATATATACCCTTTAAGTATGCATATATTATTATTTTGTAATTATTATTTTTTATTTTTAAACTTTAAACACATATGTATAATTGCAATTTCATTTAGCATTTTTCACTTCAAGGCAGATGCTAATAAGAGTTCCCAATTGAGCAGAACGAAATGTACTTTGTACTCTATAGATACTCCCCCTTCTCTCTCTGTCTCTCTCTCTCTCTCTCCTACACCCTATTACACACACACCTTTACCTTCAACTCGTGTAACTAGCTAGCGAAATTAGTCAAGTTTTTCTGCATAAAAAGTGTTGCATACTTCGTGGGGCACAGATGTTGTTGGCTTGCATGCAACTATTAAATACAATATATCGCATCCATGACGTGTTCTCTCTTATACATGCTGCACTAATATGGATCCCCAGGCACTCGCTTAGGCAAATGATTATAGTTGTGCGCACTTTCCTTCCATTTTGCTTGGCTATCATCAGCGGAGGCAGCTCTCAAGGACTGTGGGTGTGGCCGGCAGAGTCTTAGTTACTTTATAAATATAGCTACGTCAAGGTACGTCATGAGCTGCCCACGACACAAGTCAAATACATTTAACATCGGGTCGGCTGCACATGTTGACCCGGGTAACGCCTCAAATCAATTTCATTAATAGAGCTGTCCCAAAGACCCCACAGAAGCCAAAAGAAAAACAAACCTTTTCTTTTTTCGAGCTAATTACCTTTCTTTTTTCTTACCTTTTGTTGCTTTTAGCAACCAAAAAAAAAAAAAAAAAAACGAAGAGAGAAAACTTTTGAGCAACAACTTTTTGGCAGCTGCAGAATTGTATAATAATTCAACAAAGGCAGAGAGAGAGAGAGGGAGAGAGGAAGAGAAAGCTGCGGCACTCATTAAAATACAATTTGTTAAACATTTCATAATTAAATCTGTACGAAATTCTATTCTATTTTCAACATCAAAGCCAAGTCTGTTACTTGGCTATTAGAGCAGACTGTCCTTTAGTTACGAAATTCCAGTATAAATGTAATTTTGAATGTTTCATATTTATGAGCGAGTTAAGTAGGGTTACTTAGGATGGGCATTTCACTTCTGTTGAAATTCAGGTAAGAAGTGCTTATATAACTCAATTTTTTTATTTTAGGAATATTGAAGACAAGAACTAAAAAATTTATAATTCTTTTAACATGAATAAAATCAATTCAGTTTACAGACAGACAAAGATAGAGAGAGGTAATAATTTATGCTTTAAAAGAGAAATAATATTAATTATAGTAATTTCGTATTTCCATTTTATGCTCACTCTCTAACAGTTTATAAAGATTTGATGTATCTCTTAGAATATGATTTCAATTTGTAAAATTTGCCAATTTATCATTAATTAAGCATATTCTATTTCATAAAGCTTCAACTTTTCTAATTAGTAAATGTTTTGTATCTGAGTTTCATCTGTGCTCAAATCACAAATATTTCCAGCAAATCTTTTAATTAAATCTAACTGTGACATTCTCTTTCATTCAGAACTTAGTCCAAGCTTAACTCAGCTTTAACTTATCTCTCATAGCCCAACTATTCCCATTCCCTTGCAGATATAGAAACAAATATCCAGGAGTTGTGACAACTAAAACTTGCATTCTCTATTTACATACTGTCAGGAGTTGGGCGAGAAATTCCAACTTTTGACAGCCGGTTGACAACAAGTTATTTTATTTGACAACAAAAAGGCAGCGAGAGAGAGAGAGAGAGAGAGAGAGAGAGAGAGGGAGGGAATGAGGAGAGATATATGGCTATTTACAGCCAAAGTGAAATGGACAATTTTGATGATTTACTTAACTTAACGTAAGCAAAATAAACGGCAAATGCTCATTAGGGCTTAACACAGGTGTTTGTGCGTGTGTGTGTGTGTGTGTGTGTGTGTGTTTGACACGCCTACACATGTCGTCAAGAAATATGCTGTCAAGTTGATTATGGTTAGGCGAGTTTTGATGAAGTTGACAAAGTTAATTATGTCAGCGCATTAATAGCACGCACCTGCACACAAACACACATATATACATGTATATGTAAAGATACTTGATTACACACACTTTCATAAATGATAATTATTTATGCAGCTGCTAATTGCAACGGGCCACAATTTCTTACACTTCGCACTTAACTTCAAAAAGCAAACACAACAAACACACTCACACCCATAGACATACAACACACACACACACACATTCAGCCGCCCACACACATGCTCACTTAACTTACTAGCTAAATGTACCTGCTGCTTGTGTGTCCTTTCAGCGACTGTCGGCCAACACCTGTCGGCTGGCTGCTACAAGGCGGAGAAAAGCTTTTGCCGCAAGCTTTTTCGCCAGCTCTGCGAACATTTTTATGAATTAAAAGCACAAAGCAAGCTTTCGCTGTGTGTGCGTGTGTGTGTGTGTGTGTGTGTGTGTGTGTGATGCCTATGGAATCAATGAAAGGCTACATTCATTTATGTACCTAGCCTTTCTGCCTTGCCCCAATGACGTCACAGCCAGCAGCTGGAGCGAGCTCATCCTCTGGCTGCCTCTAGCTTGTTGCCTGCCCAAATATTTGATAAGCCTGCCAAATATTGTTGTCAACTGACAAGAAATCACTGCAGGCTGTCATTTCGACTATGCTTAAATACGGCTAAGGTAAAATATTCGATACTCTAGAAAGACTTGAGCTGGTCTGGCAGAAGGAAATTCGATTATAGAGGGAACTTGATGTTGCTTGAAAGCGGAAATGCTAATAAATGTTTTCCTCTTCTATGTGCTTGCTAAACTCTCAGTGCTGTATATTATCTCTTTAATACTCTACTTTCGCTCAAGAGTTTTTTTTTTTTTAACTATTTATCAATTAATTACTTCTTATAGAGCATTGAGAATGCGCTCTGAAGCTAAGAAATTCTATTGGATTTGAAAGCAAAGCCAAGCTCTCGTTTATTTTGTGTATGCAAAGCAGAATAATTCATTTGTAATTAGAGTAACCATGCAATTACTTGATTACATTACAAAATAGAATACTTAGACATTCGGCGCGGCAACAGAAGCGAAATTCAATAGATTTTATTCACAATTTTTTGCTGCTTGTGCATAATTAAATTTTGTTTTTTGTTTTTTAGAGAATTAAGTTTGACTACATACAAATAAAATATTTATGAATTATAGAATTTTTTATTTAAGTTGAAAGTAATTCACACTGAGGATAATTGAAGCTGCTAAAGATAATTCATACTGAGGATGGTTTAGTGGAGAGTCCATATGAGTCCATATAGCTCGCATACGATTTAAGGTTCTTTTTTTCTGGCATTGCAAAAAAAAAAAAAAAAAGTTCTATTCTTCAATAATAAATAAGTTATAGGCTTTCAAGGTATATTTGACTAGGAAATAGCGAACTTTTCTCAACAGATCCGAGCTTAGAAGATGGACTCATTTGCCTACAAATAACTGATCTCTGGAGTTATGGTATCTTATGTGTGTATATGTACCTGTTCCGCTACCAATTTTATAACAAATCTGAAGCTAAATAATATGTATATATACAACCTTAAATACCCACATTATTATTTATATAACCACGCCTGAAGCACCCTGTAGGCATCTGAGTGTATGCTTTGACAAGCGCTCAACCGTGATAACAATTTTTATTTTTATTTTATTTTTTCATGCCGAACCCATTTGAAATTTAACTGAAAATCAACATAAAAGAAGAAAATGAGAAAACAAGCCAAAAATAAGTTGAAATGCCGATCGATTAGGGCGCAAAAGCTTTGAAGTATTATCCGCATGACGTATACGCCATGTTGTACAAGCACGTATGTAGCCATGTATGTGTGTATGTAGAACTGTTGGCTGTTCGGCCTTGCTCTTGGCCTTATCCTTTTAACCTTCGACAGCTGCGCCAATGCCAATGACAGCCGTGTGCCACCGAGAGTTGCCGGCTAGCAGAGTAGATTGCACAAAGCACTCGGTAAGCATCTAGATGCCTCGCCTGGTCTGGCCTGGCCTGGCCTCGTTGCTTGCCGCATGGCATATGCTCTGCTGCAGCTGCGGGGGAGTCAAGCTGCCAATTGCAGTTGCAAATACTTATTTTCAAGCGGAAATTGCTTCAACTAGCTGCTGCTTAAAGCGGCAGCACAACTTGCATCCTGTTCGTTCGCATCACTCACCTTTGCACTTTGATTGCGCCCGCTTTGGATTTTATTTTAATATAATTTTTTTATTTTATTTTTTTTTCATGTTTTGTGAAATCCAATTTTACTTAACATGATTTGATTCTCAGCGGAATATTGCCATTGCTGTTATTTATTAATATGTGCGCTTCTACAAATGGATTTGCCGTGTTTCCGTGTTTCCATGTTTCCGTGCGGCACTGGGAATTATTGCAGCTGGGTTAACTGGCTCCTGAGCTGGGGTTTCATTAAGATATTTCGTGGCATATGAAATTGATTGTAGCTATGGGAGCTAACTGTAATATGCAGGAGCTATATGAATTAAATATGTTATTGAACACAGACTCGATGAATTGAAGAGTTTGAGAAGCAGCATAGGGAATGGGTTTTCGAACAGATTATAATATAATACAGATAGGGATATAATAATATTACAACTCGATTCAATATAATGCTCATATTTTCTACTGACAATTTCTACAGAATTTTCACTTCCACAATAATAAATGCAATATTTTATTATAATTTACTATTTTAGATTACTCTCGTTTATTTCGTCATATTTTTGTTTATGGATTTCGCTTTGTTCGTTTTTGTACGCTTAAATTTGCATATAAATATATATAAATATAAATAAATATGTTATATATCAATATCAATCAGATATAGCATATATCAATTGGGTTTTAGCATAAATTAAATTAATTAATAAATTCAATTGAACTAAAAACATATGCGCCATCTCTCTCTCTCTCGCGCTCCCGCACTCGCATATTTGCATTTTAACATAACAACAATTTGCCTATGAAAATTAACAATTTTTTTTTAGCTGAATCAAAGATAAGTAAAGGCTTCATTAAAAAAAACGGCAATAATAAATATAAATTAAATAAATAAATAAATAAGCTTAGCGATTACAATAAATATGCCTTAATCTTAGTATTGCGTATGAGGAATGGAGTTGGAGTGTGTGAGGGAGAGGGCAGATAAGCTCGAGCTCTGAAAGATTTTCAGTGGCCGCCTGAAAGTAGGCAACGGAAATTTTGCACAGTTTGACAGTCGCTGCAATTTCTCATATTAAACTAGGGGAAGGAAGAGTTTTATGGGTGACATTTTATGAGTTTTGTGAAAGCGACGCTGCTGCCTATAAATATACAAATACACATATTTATATTAAATATCCAATATAAATATCTATAAATATATGTACATATATCTATAGGTCATTTCGCCACGGCAAAGTCCTCTAAAAACTATTTGTTCTATTTACAGTTTCAATGTGTGTGTGTGTGTTTATGTGGCTTATTTAACACCCGTTATGCTGCGCAGCCACGGCTTATAGAATGTGGTCCGCATATAGACACCCGGCAGATAAGGCGCCGCACACTTGATGCCATGCGATACAGTGCCAGCCAGCTCATAACGTCCATCGGGACGCTGCAGAACCAAAGGACCGCCGCTGTCACCCTGCCAAAAGAGTTGATTAAAAAAGTTTCGAAATTGCTAATGGCGGCATTTACCTCGCACGAGTCCTTCTGCCCGTTGGCATAGCCCGCACAGAGGAACGAGTTAAGTATCTTCTTATTGTGCCCGGCCGTGTGGAACATCTCCTGGCAGACGCTGTTCTCAATTATTGGCACCTGTTGCGTGCGAAAAGCCAATTAAAAGTTGTTCGTAAAGCGGTTAATCAATCAGCATGGGCTAATAGCTCACACACAGAGAGAGAGAGAGAGAGAGAGAGAGAGACACTCACCTGCACCTCCTGCAGCACCGAAGGCACTCCGCCGCCGTACTTGAGTCGACCCCAACCCGTCACGGTTGCCATGCGACCTGTGAAGTCTGCCTGATCGTTGGGCATGCAAATCGGCACTGTGAGGGAGATGAGCATGATTAGCATGATAAGTGGAAATTCTTGTAAATATTATTAAATGGAGTGAAGGCATTCTCCCTTTGAACTGTTTATTGCTTTTGATGAGGCATAAGTAAGATCTAAAGCCTAAAGTCTTATCTATTTTTTTTGAATGAAATGCCAAGTCCAACAAGCCCATAGAAAAGGTCAGATTCAAGCTTTTCTTGACCTATAGGCAATATTTTCAGTTATTAATTCTGGCTATAAATATAGTGCTGAGACACAAGATAAGTTATTCAGTGGACTTGCCTCTGCCAAAGCAAATAGGTGTGCTCTAGTCGGAAGTATCCGACTAGTAGATATAATTAACTAAATTTATTAAATGGCAGAAACACCTAAGATATATTTTGCGTTTAATATAAAATTGATCACATAGAAGAAAAACATAATGTAGAATGTAAAATTACATAATGTTGACTACATAATGTGGAATGTAGTCAACATAATGTAATGTTTCTGCAACATTATGTAATACATTTTCTTTGCATTCTGGATCCCTAAACTTTTTTTTTTTAGTACAACACCATCCCATAGTTATACCCATAAATCCCTCCCCTTACTTACCTATATGCGTATCAAATTGCACGGGACTGTCCATTTCGAGCAGCGCCAGATCGTTTTCAAACGTGGCCGGATCGTATTGACGATGCACAATGACGCGTTTCACATTCTTCGTAACGGGACGTTTGCTCTCCAGATCCCCAGAGATATCAAACTCGCCCATGACAGCAACCAAAGAGGCCAGAAAACTAAAGTAGAGCAAAAATTAGGTAAATAAGAAAACTCAGTTCAGCTTAGCAACTTACCCGGGCTGGCAATGGGCAGCGGTGATGACGTAGCGACTAGTGATTAGAACGCCGCCGCATTTGTTTTTGGTGAAGAGTCCCAGCCAGGTGGATTCGCGTACTAGAACCTGCCAGGGAAAGGCGCCAAATGTGGAGCCTTTGCCGCCGACAATGCGACCCGATTTAACATGTGGACGAACGCCGCATTCTGTTGATGGGGAGTGAAATGTGAGGTTAGGAGTAGGGAGTGTTCACAAAGCGAGCGAGCGAGTGAGTGAGTGAGAGCGAACGAACGATTGTATCAAATGTGAGCGAGCGAGCGAGCGAGCGACTGACGAACAGCCAGAAAAATAGTTACACAGAGAGAAACAGGGGGACAAATCATTGCGGGACGAGGCAAGAAACGGATCAGG